CCTAGTGCCATCTTACTGGGGTTAGGACTTCAACAGAGGAATTTAGGGCAATGCAAACATCCCGCTTGTGCTTTTACTCCAGGCCTTTAGAATAAAATCCAAATTTCATAGCCTGGCTCAAAGGCTCTTTGCGGATAACCCATGCCTACTTCTCTGTCACCTCCCTGCACGGTTCCAGTTCTCCACACCATCCAAGGCCCTCCCACCTCCAGGCCCTGCTGTTCTCTCTGCGTGGACTGCTTTTCCCTGTTCTGTAGCTTCTTTTCATCCTTCAGTCTCAGCTTAGCTGCCACTTTCCCCCAAGAGATTTCCTTGTTAACTTTATTAAAAAGATTCCTGGGGCCAGCAGGTGGTGTGATGGTCAAGGCACTGGACTTCCACATGTCTGACCGTGGTTTGAGTCCCAGACTTGGTGGCTTGCTTTCTCACTCTCTCTCTATCTCTCTCATGAGTGTATGTGTACTATAGCAAATTTAAAATAATAATAATAAGTAAAATTAAATAAATAATTATTTTTTAAAAAAGAAAAAAAAAATAGACTCCAGTGCTGGCCAGTGGCATGGTGGTTAAGGTGAGTGGACTCCACAGGGCCGACTAAGCAGTTTGAGTCCCAGATTCAGCAACTTGAAAAATACATGCCTGGTGTGTAAGTGTGTGTGCCCAAAATACTGACAGGAGCATGGAGAAGGGATTGCAGGGTGGCCATTCCCCTGGGGGTAGGGAGTGGAACTGCCTCATATTCTCTCTCTCTCTCTCTCTCTCTCTCTCTTTCTCTCTCTCATGAATGCACGTGCCCTGTAGCAAAATTTTATAAAAAATAATAGACTCCCACACACATTGTTCTCTATGATTCTCAGCACTTTTGTACCCCTCCACAACAGCTATCCCATAACACATTCGGTTCTCATTGTTCGTGGCAGTTCTGTTCAATGCAGCCACCAGGAACACTGAATTAGTGGATAATGAACCACTGCTCCTAGGGGACTCATGAGGTTTGGTTCCTGCAAGCCTCTGGTCACAACGTTTTCACATAGTGATCAATAACTTTGTTCTAGGTGCATTTCTGTTCAGAGACACCTCACGTAATATTTATCACTGACTCATTAACATGGAACTCACAGCCAGCCACACTGTAACATCCCTCAGTGAACCGTCACGTGGCTTTCCTCTGTAAGGAATATCACAGCTCTCTTGTGCTTAGGAACACTACACGGCCCTTCGGCACTACATGTGGGAGACATTTAAGCCAAAGTCACCAATGAAAAAGCACAGGAACATAAAATAGACGGCTAAGAGGACACCCATTCACAGTAGGAGAGCTGAAAGAAGACACACAGTCTCTTCTTACTCCACCTTGGCTGGGAACACGTGTGCATGTCTCAGTCAGAGGGACTGCTGTAACAAAATGCCATAGACTGGGTGACTTAGAGACAAGAGAGTTTATTCATCACAGGTCTGGAGGCTGGAAATGCAAGGTGCCAAGGTGCCAGCAGATGCAACATCTGATAAGGTCCATGTCCTGGCTCCTAGACTGCCGTCCCTGTGTCCTCAGACGGTAGAAGAGGAGGGAGCCCTCCAGAATCTCTTTCATAAGGACACTGATTCTACGCATTAGGTCTCTACCTTCGTGAACTAGTCACTGACCAAAGGCTGCACCTCCTAATCCCACCATATTGGGGGCTAGGATTTCAACGTATGGTGTGGAGAGGACACACAAGTTCAATCAACGGCAGTGTGTGTGGACCACTCATGTTTCCTTAGCCATTCCGTGCTTGCTTGTGTCCTCAGGCAAACTTGAAAGGGCCACGAGCATTGATTTTGGGGTTACAGATAAATTTCAGTGAGTAGAAAATCACAAACTCAAAATCCATGAATAATAAGTATAATGGTGGAATCCTTGACTAGCATATAATTATTTTATTCATTCATTTACTGAGTATCACTTTTTTCCACTTGACTTCAGGAGGGGAAGGATGCGTGTATCATTCATAGTGTATCCCTCACTCTTAGCAGAAGTAAAGTGGACCTCGGGAATTCTTGAGCTGCTGGTGAACCAACCAAACTAAACTCCAGAAGTTCAGTTTTGTGAGAGTTATTAGTAATCCGATTATTTATGTCATGATTATTTGCATATTTAATTATGGCTAAAATGAAACAGCTCTCAGGGCTGAGTTTACCTGATGAACTCAAAAAAGACAGATCAATAAACCAAAGTTATTCATATTTTTCACAGGCAATAGAATTTTCCAGTGATCCAAACAATTATGTGCCATCTCCTAATGTCAGCTGAACGATTCCTTAGAGGTTTGTTTAGGGAACAGTAGATGGCATAGTGGTTATATGGCTGGACGCCCACATGGCTGGCCACAGTTCAAGTCCCATATCCAGCAGCTCGAAATTCACTTTGGGCACATGTGTGTGCATGCCAAAATCTCAAGAGAATGGAAGAGAAAGGGATTGTGGCACGGTCTTTCTCTTGGGGAGTGACTTCTCGCTTTCTGTCTCTCTGCCAGGCACATGTGCCCTATAGCAAAAATCTCTCAAAAAAAGAAAAAAAAAGAGGTTTGTTTGTTGATCTACATTAGAGAAATGGGATATGGGAAAGGCTAAGAGATTGCTTTCCCCATAACACAGGATTCAGTATCCTACTTCCATACAAAATGCTACTAACCTCAAAAGTACAAAAGTCAAACAACAAATTTGTTCTATAAAGAAAGACACATCTTGGGGGCCAGCATGTGGCATAGTGGCTAAAGCACTGGATTCCCACATGGCCAGCTGCAGTTCAATTCCTGGATCCAGTGGCTTGAAAACCATGCACACATGCATACATGCCCAAAATACCAAGAGAAGAATGGAGGAGAAGGGATTGGGACATGGCCATCTCCTCTGGGGGTGATTTCTCACTTTCTCATTTTCTTTCTCCAGCGAGCTATAGCAAAAACAAAATACAAAAAAATACAAAACACACATACACATCTGATCCTACGGAATAAAAAGTGGTACATTTCCAACTGCACCTCCACTTTTAGACATAATCTTTGATATGTTCACTGTCTCTCCTAATATAGCTTCAATCTGATTATTTTCCTTCATAGATCAAAATACCAACAGCACGCATAAGAACATATGGTAGAGGGACCAGCCAAGGGCTCTGAGGTAATGCAATTCTCTTAATGCTAGATGCACATGGAAAGGCACTGGTTCATGTCCTGAGGGCTCCCTGTGCACACACTGGGCACACGTGATCAAGACTGGCTAAGGGGACCAGCAGTTGGCATAATGGCTATGTTGCTGGACTCCCAAGTAGTTGACTGTGGTTTGAGTCCAGGACCCAGTAGCTTAAACTCATGCCGGGCATGTGTGCGTGCATGCCCAAGGTCCTGAGAAAAGAATGGAGGAGAAGGGATTGCGGTGTGGCCATCCCCACTGGAGAGAGATTTCTCAATTTCTGACTCTCTGTCTCTCTCTGTCTTTCTGGCAAGTGCATGCACCCTATAGCAAAAACCTCCCCCCCACCCCCCAAAAAAAGACTAGCTAAGGCTAGGGATAGATTGCACCATGAAGGCCCTGATGGGACACATGTCTCTATGTCCCTCTTTCTTTCATGGAAGAAATAAATCAACTTAAAAAAAAAAATCCAATGGAAGCTAAAGACTCATCCCTTCAAACAAATCTAACATTTTCTATCTTTATATCAAAGAAGTTAATAATGCACATATTCATTTTTAATCAGCTTTTTTGAAATATAATTCACATACTACATAATTAACTCACTTACAATGTACAATTCAATGTATATTTAGTGTATTCACAAAGTTGTACAGTCATAACCACTATGTAATGCCAGAATTTTTTTCTTTTTAGAGATTTCCGCCATTGGGTGGGTGTGATTGCCAGTGATGAGACAGAGACAGTGAGAGGGAAAGTAAGAAATCAGCCCCTGGCGGGGGTGGGGGGGAGCCATGCCACAATCCTTTCTCCTCCATTCTCCTCCTGGGATCTTGGGCGGGCATGCACACACATGCACCTGGTGTGAGCTTCACCAAGTCCATAACTTGAGTTGGCCATGTGGGAGTCGGCCATGTGGGAGTCCGGCAATGTAACCACCACACCATCTGCTGGCCCTTTTTTTATCCCTCCAGAAAGAAACCCTGTACCCAAAATGGTTACTCTCTACCCCAATCCATTCCACTCTTTCAGCAGCCTCTGGGAACCACTAATCTACTTTTTCCCTCTATGGACTTGCCTTTTCTGGACACTTTACTTCAATGGAATCTACAATATGTTGTCTTTAGTACTTTTTCATTTAGCATAATATTTTAGGGTTCATGTTGCAAAGGTTGGTACTCCATTCCATTTTATTGCCACATCATGTTTCATTGTCTGAATATACCACATTCTGTTTATCCGTTCATCAGTTGATGGACGTTTGGGTTGTTTCCAGCTTTGGGCTGCTATGACTAATGCTATTAACATTCATATAAAAGCATTTGTGTGGATGTATGGTTTAATTTCTCTGGGGTAGAATTGCTGGATAACTCTACATTAACCTTTCAAGTAACCACTAAATTGTTCTCCTAAGTGGCTTCATCATTTTGCATCCCTACTAACAATGTATATGGATTTCAACTTCTCCATATGCTCATCAGCGCTTACTCTTGTCTGTCTCATGGCTGTGGCCATCCTAGGAGGTGTGACGTACTATCTCATTGTGGTTTTGATTTGCATTTCCCTGACGATTAGTGATGCTGAGCATCTTTTCGTGACCTTATTGGCCATTTGTTATATTTTTGTAGAGAAATGTCTACTTTTATTTTGCCCACTTTTTTTTAATTTTTAAATAATTATTTAATTTTTTAATTATTATTAATTTGTGCTCATCAGAGAGAAACAGAGAGAGAGAAGTGAGAAAGCAAGCCACCAGATCCAGGATTCGAACCACAGTGGGCTATGTGGGAGTCCAATGCTTTAACCACCATAACACCATACCACCTGCTGTCCCCATTTGCCTACTTTTTAATTAGGTTCTTTTCTTTGATAATTGAGGTAGTAAGAGCTCTTTATATATTCTGAAGACCAGTCCCATATGAGCTCAATGGTTTACACTTTCCCCTGTTCTGTGAGTTATCTTTGTGCTTGCTTGCTGTATACAAGCTTTTTAACACTACTATGGGCACTTTCATTTTTCTTCATCAACACAGCTTTATAAGATGAGGATAAGCTGCAATAAAATAATCAAGTAATTTTTCAGGCATTGTTTCAAGAGCTGTAGACGTGATGAGGTAGTTTTCCCCAGATGGATTCCCTGTGCAGACGGAGCTGGAGACCACCTCTGTGGAAACGAAACATTGGCTGATAAGTTACTGAAGTCTGGGGAACAGGGCACAGAGCTGGCAGGGAGCGCCGTCAGGTGCACTGGGAAACTAGTGAGGGGTAAAGGAGGCACGCATGGTCTGGTTGTGTAAAAGCTCATGGAGTGGAGTGAGTTAGCAACCAGCTAAGAGCCCCACACATTTCAATCGAAAGACGATGCCCTGGGCTGGATGGTGGGAGGTGGGGAATGAAGCAAAAAGAACCGATTTTGAGTAGCTCTTGGAGGTAGGATAAATTGACCTCGATGACAGGTTGACTTGAACTATAGCGAGAAGGGGAAATCAAGAATGGAACAGGTGACCGTTTATGGAGAATGCATTTGGGTGTCAGAGAAAGTTTCAAGTTGAACATTTTGTCTGAGATGCCTCTGCAGCAACACAGGAAAGAAGGTAAATGTCGCTTTTTGGAATTCACATGAAAGGTCTCAGCTAGAACTCTACGGATGAGAGTTATTGGCAAGTGAGTTCAAAGCTCTGTGGGGGGAGGGGAAGGACGACAGGTGGCATGGTGGTTAAGGTGCTAGATTCCCACATGGCCAACTGTGGTCCAGTCCTGAATGTGGTGGCTTGCTTTCTCACTTTTCCTTTCTCTTTCTCCGTCTCTCTCCAGTCAAAAAATACCACTACTACTAATAACAATAATAATAATTAATAAAGGGAAATAAACAATCTTTAAAAAAAGTCTGGGGGTAGGCTTGCATATGAAAAAAAAAGTTATGGTTACTGACTCAAGTTGCCTATTTTAAAGCTTAGCTTTTATTAAAGGATTTAAGTTCAACCTATGAATCCTATTATTTCATTTTAAATCTAGCAATTTTTTTATAGAAAGGTAAGAAGAATCACTTTCACTTGTTCTTTGATCACAGCTGAATCATTTCTTAAGTTTAGTAGATTCAATCCTCCCTAAACATTTCATGGGCTTAATCAAATTTCCTTAGACATTTCAAACTACAATTATGAATTGAATATGTCTTATTTTTGCAAATATTTAAAATGCCCAACAGGACAGTCTTACAAATGTAAAAAGCAAAATCTTTCTAAACGCGTAAGCAACTGTCATAAATTAATTATCTAAACTTATAAACGTAGCAAATCAGAATCTTTTGGCCATTTCAGAAACCTTAAATCCTATACAAAGCAGAACAAGGATCTCAGAAGCTTCTATGCTGTATTTGGTTCTTCATTATCTGAATATTTGTTTATATTTCCTTTCTGGAGTTACAGATTTTTCTCCTCCAACAAAGATCAGAATTTTCCCCAAAATATTGATAATGGCAACCAGTCTACGTCACTCTAAAATCCGTTGTCTTACCCCTAAGTTTTCAGGTATTTATTGACAGGAGACATTAACAAATGATGGTCATGTGGACAAATGATATTATGTAGAGCAGTGGAACCCAACCTGTTTGGCACCAAGAACCAATTTCATGAAAGACAGTATTTCCATGGATGAGGGGGTGGGTTTGGTTTTGGGATGATTCAAGCACATTACATTTACTGTGCACTTTATTTCTATTAGGATTGCATTGTGATATATAATGAAATAATTATACAACTCACCTTAATGCAACACTTGCAGCCTCTCCCCAGTGCTTGCATCACTGCCTCAGCTCCACCTCAGATCATCAGGCATTGGACTCTTATAAGGAGCGTGCAACCTAAATCCCACACAGGCACAGTTCACAATAGGGTTTGCGCTCCTATGAGATGCTAATGCCACCTTCAATCTGACAGGAGATGGAACTCAGGCCTCAGGCAGCAAAGAAGTGGTGGGAAATGGCTATAAATACAGATAAAGCTTCGCTCCTCACCTGCTGCTCACCTCCTGCTGCATGGTCCAGGGGACTCTTGATCTTGAGAAAAGGCATGGAGAAAACATAGTAAGTCAAGGATCGAGACTGGAGGCTAATACCTAGACTGAGGATAGACCATGTGAAAACCAGTAGAAGAAACTACTTTAACTGTCAAATAAAACATGAAACTCCTTATCAATCTCTTAATTTGGGGAGGAAGGATTTTACACATTATCCCAGCAAATGCTGCCTGTCCAGTCTTAATACCTACCAATCACTGTGTGTGCTTGAACATGCTGCTCAGCTTTGCCAAACTCAAGCTCCCACAGGCTTAAAGAGGGGATTGAATTTCTAATATCCTTTCTAAATTTAACATCTAATGAGTCAGGGAGCATGGTAAGCAAAACAGTGCATATAAGAAAATGCATGTTTGGAAGAAAGTAAGCAGGCCAGTTAGACTAGAAGAGATAACTGTTTCCAGTGAAGATTATTGCACACTGTAACCTTTAAAACAGGGGGTCTTAAACTTCAGTGTGCATTAAGACTCATCTGAGACAGTGTAACTTAAATGCAGACTAAATAAATATATTTTAAAATGTAAGTTTTAGTCACTTTCTCCCTTGACAGTTGGGATGTAGAGCTAGGTTTGACCACAGTAACCTGGAAATCTTTACTTTGAAGTCCTAAATTCTAACTATTGGAAACAGAAGCTGTTCCTCCAACATATACTGCAGAGAACAATGTTAAGATGCAGTAAATTGGGACCAGCGGTTGGCGTAATGTCTATGTCGCTGGACTCCCATGTAGTCGACCACGGTTCGAGTCCTGGACCCGGTGGCTTAAACTCATGTCAGGCATGTGTGTGTGCATGGCCAAGATCCCAAGAGAAGAAGGGATTGGGGCATGGCCATCCCCCCTGGGGGGGGAATTTCTCACTTTCTGTCTCTCTGTCTCTCTCTTTCTGGTGAGAGCACACACCCTATAGCAAAAACCTCTCAAAAAAAAAAAAAATGCAGTAACTTGACAACTGGCAAAATACTGAGGCTGCAGTGGTCCCCAAAAGTCAAAAACCACAAGTCTTAGTTCAGAGTTCAGAGTTCTCCAGAGAAACAGAACCAAAATTAACTAACAGACCTCACCAGAATATAGAAGGTGGGGGGAGATTCCAAAAGGAGGTGTGGCAAAGAGGGTTGATGGTGTCCCACATGTGCATTCCACCTTCTACTCCAATAAGAGAAGCCTCCATTTTCCACCTGAGCACACAGCCACCAGGAATAAAGACTACAGTTTCAACACCCCGCCCTTTGCCATTAGGTATGGCTAAATTCTGGCTAAAGACATGTAAGCACAAGATTCTATAAGTTCTGCGAAGTATCCTTCAAGAGCAGGGATGAGCTCTTGCCCTCCCCCTCCTCCTCCTCTGGCTAGAATGTACCAGTAGATAAAGTCCCAGTAGCCATAAGGTCAATGAGACAACCTCAGGAAGGAAGCCCTACACCTCAGAGCAACCAAAGAAAACCTGACTCCAAGACAACAAACTGATCACTTCTATAATTCTTTTTTTTTCTTTATTTGCTGGAGTGTGTGTGTGCTTACTAGAAAGTGACAGAGAAAGAGAAAGAAAGGGAGAGAGGAAAACACTCCCTGTGGAGCAGGGTCACACCACAATCCCTTCTCCATTCCTCCATCCTGTCAGGATTTGGGGTGTGTGTGCACATCCACCCTATGCTTTTCATGCTGCCAGGTCTGGGACTCAAACTGCTTAGTGGCCAGGTGGGACCCAGCTCCCTTAATCACAGGGCTAGCAGCTCAACCTCTATAATTCCTGAAAGTGAGAAAAAAAGTTAAGCTTATTTGGGGTTTTCTGTTAAAACCTAATTTTAACTAATGTAGCCAGTAATAATAACTAGTGCTTATTGAGAACCTGCTATGTACCCGGCACTGTTGTAAGTGGCTCACATCGTTAGCTCGGAGCATCTTCACCACAATCCACATTTTACAGATGAGGGAACTGACGCATGGCAAAGCTATGCAAGTTTCCCTAGGTCCCCAGGTGAGTGAGTGGCTGAGCCAGGACCCCAGTGCAGGCTGACTAGGTCTATAGTGCGTGATCCCAACCATTATGCTGTGGTGTCTCCTGATTCCAGAGGTCAAGTCCTCAGCCATCATCCATCTATCCACCCATTCTGCAAATAAGCAAATGCCCGGGCACTGGGAACTTTATGATGCACCATAGAGACAGCCCTCACAGAGCTTATGACAACATGTCCATGAGTACCTCCCAGAACCCAAGTACAGGTCCAACCATAAGACCCTGGGGAGCCACCATTAGAGGCGGCAGGACCCACCATTAGAGTCTCTGCTCTAACTGCTCCCAGCATCCATTGCTCGGTCCCAACGGGCACGTTCACTGGAGAGAAACTGACCAGCATCATTTGAGCCAGAGGCCTAACAGCAGCATGGTCCGAATCAGGGGACATACGGCCAGTAGGTGGCGTGGTGGTTAAGGTGCTGGACTCCCACGTGGCCAGCCACAGTTTGAGTTCTGGACGTGGTGGCTTACTTTTTTTCTCTCTCTGATGAGTGCATATATCCTGTAGCAAATTAAAAAACAATAATAATGATAAAATAAGTAATTCTTTTTTTAAAAAAATCAGGGAACTCTCGTAGATTAGAGGCCCAATCACAGGGATCTAGCCCTAAGTGTCTACCTGTTCCCAAAGAAGGGCAGTCACTGGAAATCACTCCCAGAGCTACCTATCACACACACACACACACACCATAAAAAGGGAAAGGAAAGAGCAGAAGGAAGGGAAAGCCTTTCTAGAACTGTGACTGCCAGAGGTGCCCAAGCCTGGTTCTTCAAGGCCTGGTGGGAGATAATGACCAAACTGGGGCTGGACTGAATGGAACGACTGATTGTGGGGGCGTGTGGACAGGGGAGTGGGAAGCAGAGTGGCCAAGGGTGAGAAAGAGGGTCAAAGAGCCTGGGCAAGCGACTATGGAAAAACTTAGTTTTGTGGTTTTTGACCACAGTTCCATTTCTGGCACTCTGATAATAATCTTAAATATGAAAAAAAAAAAGTTTCATGTTCAAAAATATTTACTTAGAATCTCCTCTCCCCCAATATCTAACTACTAGGGATTAAAGTAAGTAAACTATGATAGTAATAACAGTAGCTAATATTTATTAACCACTTATGATATTCCAAGTATTATGTTTTGGGTTTTTATTTAAATAATTATTTTTTATTTAATTTTATTCATTTATTTATTTTACTTTGACCAGAGAGAGACACAGAGCGAGACAGAAGAGGGAAAGTAAGAAAGCAAGCCACCAGGTCCAGGATTCTAACTGTGGTTGGCCATGTGGGAGTGTCCAGTGCCTTAACCACCATGCCACCTGCTGGTCCCCTCCAAGTATTGTTAGGCATTTATTTGTCACCACCCATTTTCAACAAGCTTAAAAGTGAAATAATTCGCTAATACATCCAAGCAAGTAAGGAGTGAAGCCTAGATTTGCACCCAGTTCTGACAGCTCAGCCAACAGTCCTAAGCACTGCAGTAAACTATACTACAGTACTTGGAGTGCTACAAAGTCATTAAAAATGGCAACTGTGGGGGGCCAGTAGTGGCTTGGTAGTTAGGGTGCTAGACTCCCACTTGGCCAACTATTACTCGAGTCCCAGACCTGATGGCTTGCTTTCTCACCTTCCCTCTCTCCCTATTTGGTAAGCACATGTGCCCTACAGCAAATTTTAAATAATAATAAAGGAAATAATTCTTTCAAAAAATGGCTACTGTAAAAACTATATAACATGCAGAAAATTTCTGATAAGGCATTTTTTTAATTATTTACTTAATTTTATTTATTCATTCACTTATTTTAATTTGACCAGCGAGAGAGAGGGAAGTGAGAAAGCAAGCCACCAGGTCCAGGACTCGTACCATGGTCAGCCACGTGGGAATGTCCAGCGCCTTAACCACCATGTCACCTGCTGGTCCCTGATAAGGCACTTGTAAAGAGAGATACAAAATTGTACATGAAGGATGTTTTTAAACCACGAGTTCACACACACCCACACATGAAATATAGAGGCTGAGGCTATTAGTCCAAATCTAATGAGGAAAGAGAAACCACACAGTAATTTGAAAGGGAAATACGAAGATTTATTAATTATAACAGAGCACTCTAGAAACAAGGACTTGCCTAGTAAGAAGAAAACCTGAAGAATAAAAGAAGAGCAAATAAAAGGAGTAGTCACTACCTCTAGGGCTAAGACAAACCACCAGGGAAGGAAAAACACCTGGTCAGAGGAACCTGGTGCTGAAAAGGCTGCATCACAGTAGCCTAGCACTGAACACGAATGCTGTTTTTTTTATTTGTTTTGTTTTTTTCCTTTTATTTTATTTTTTTTTTTTGAGAGGTTTTTCTATAGGGTGGATGTGCTCCCCTGAAAGACAGAGAGAGAAAGAGAGAAATCACCCCCCCAGTGGGGATGGTCACGCCCCAATCCCTTCTCCTCCATTCTCCTCTCGGGATCTTGGGCATGCACGCACGCGCCCGGCGTGAGTTTAAGCCCCCAGGTCCTGGACTTGAACCGTGGTCGACTACATGGGAGTCCAGAGACATAGCCATTACGCTAACTGCTGGTCCCTGAACATGAATGCTGTTTTGAAAAATATTTAAGTGCAACTTATATGGGAAACGTGGAGCTTTTATCCATACCAGTTGATTATGGAACCAACATCGTGTACTGCCTTATTCAGATACCCAGCTCTTTTTTTGTTTTGTTTCTTTTTTTTTTTTTTAAATTTATTCATTCATTTATTTTAATTTGACTGAAGAGAGAAGGACACAGAGAAAGAGAGGAAAGGTGAGAAAGCAATCCTCCAGGTCTGGGACTTGAACTGTGGTTCACCATGGGGGAGTGTCCAGCACCTTAACCACCATGCCACCTGCTGGTCCTCTACCCAGCTGTTTTCTGAGTACATGTCTGAGCTCCCCAACTAGAAGATATTCTGTTAGGGCAAGGATTATATTCCATCCTCCTCCTCTAGCCCACACCACACAGAGTTATACACAGTGTGCTCAATAATTTACTGGGATACGTGAACTCTAGAGGAGCACTCCTATTAAACCCTGCTTTCCCCATTACTTTTATTCTACTTTTTCTATTGTATAAGCAAAAAAAAAAAAAAAGAGAGAGAGAAAAGAAAAGAAAAAACTTATTAAGGAAAATACAAACATAGAACAAAAGGAGAAAACTATCAATCTTTCTGGTATCCAGAAATATTTCTTACACACAAACAGCAGGGTTTTTTTTTCTTTTTTAAAAAACATAAATGTACACACAAAGTCCTATATGCAATTCTATATCCTGCATTTTTTATTTAATATAAAAAAGCATTTCTTTGGGGCTGACAGGTGGCGCAGTGGTAAAAGGCACCGGACTCCCATGTGGCCGACAGTGACTCAAGTCCAGGACCTGGCGGCTTACTTTCTTACTTTCTCTCTCTTTGTCCCTCTCTGGTCAAATTTAAATAAAGTAAAATAAAATAATTATTTTTAAAAAAATTTCTTCAACCCATAAAGTCTTGGAACAGCTGATGGTGAATTATTATATGTTGAAAATGGTTATGCTGATGTTGAAACTACCCTTAAATGTTGACTCCACAATATCTTTCTGAAGATATTTTACTTAATAGTTGTTTCACTTTAAAATTTACTTAACCACTTCCCTTTTGGAACTTTTAGGCTCTTTTTTATCTTTCTTATTATAAACAATCCCATAATAAATATCATTGTGCTTAAATGTTTTTTTCTGTTAGGCCCATTTCCTAAAATGGCTGTCCCACGTGTGAAATTACAAAATTGATACATTACGAATGTGTTTAAAGCCACTGAGGAAATTAAAGACCACAGGACGGCTGCTTCTAAACATGGAAACTGGAAGCTGTTTTTTCAACAAGACACAAACGCAAAGCTCCTTCTTTGCCTTCCAGTACCTCCAAAACAAGAACGCTTGCTCACCTATCACCAACCACCCTCCTCCTTCCCCTTCCCCTCTCCTCCACTCTGGCCCTACAGGACTGCAGGACCCTAGGCTAGTCCCATCTGTCCTCTGGGCCTTCCTTGTCCCCATGCTGCCTTGTAAAGGGACTAGAGGAGCTAGACTTGGATATTCCCTATGATCTTTCTGAGAGAGGAGAATGACTCGCAGGGGCTGGGTAGGGGGTGGTGGTCTCGCGGTGGGCAGGGCCGCTTAAAGCAATAGAACTACAGTTTAGAGCCCAGGGAGGGCCCAAGACACCGCTAGCCCACCGCTAGATCGACCCCGGGACTGGCTCCTGGACCGTCTCAGTCCCAGCCTTTTTTCCATCTCGCTGAAGACCTCCACTTCCTCACGGTTCACCTCGTCCACCCTGCAGGGCTTGTCCCGATCCCCGATTCTTCCCAGCAAAGGAGTTGCCCAAGCCCTTGGGGTCTCCTTTCCTCCTCCTCTTTTTTACCTCACCGATCAAGCCTGTCCCAGTCTCCATAGTTAGGGGTCTCTGCCACCCCCAGGATTTGGACTACCTTTCAAGGCACCCCTGTCCTGCAGCAGACCCTCATCACCTCCTCCGCATCTTTTCCCACATATCTGTTATGGGATTGTCTCTCTGCCTTTCCCGCCACGATTAGCTTTCTGTCCCGTTTCTCCCACCTTCGCCGCCATTGGCCTGGGGGGTCATCTGACCCTGGTCCTTTCGTTTTGCCCCCCAGCCCCGGTCGCGTCACAAGACCTCTATCCCCTTTAGGTCTTCCCTTCTATGCTCCTCCCCTAGGTCTGCCCCTCTGCGCCCCGGCCCCTGTCTGTACTCTGTCCGCTCCTGAATATGTTCTTCTGCTCCAGGAGTCTGTCCCTCAGACCACCGAGGCCCCTGCTCACCATTCCTCCCCCGGATCGGCGACTCTGCGGCCCGTTCCCTCCCTCTCCCAAGCAACTCTTCCCTTTTCCACTTTCTCTACTTTGAACCCATCCCAGCAGAGTCCAGGAAGTAGCCTGGCGCCTGGGACTGACCGCAGCGGCGCCCAATAGAGCGCGGCAGCGGC